GGTAGTTTCTGTCTTCCTCTTAACAGAAAATAATTCATGAATATTAAAATTTTCCACTTAATTCAGGAAACAGCTAAAAAACACTATGAAAATGTTCATGAGTCAAGCAATATTTATTGTTTTAACATCCACGTGATTATGTTCATTAAAATTTGCACATAAAAACCTAGTCAAACTATACACGTGTTGATTGAAATAATTTAAACCACAGGAGAGAAACAGACCAAATAACGTGGATCACATAAGGGAAAACTAAAACCCTGAAACAAAACAACCATATAAATCCGGCCAAAAGAGTAGGTTAAATGATCTATTCTGAAATACATATATTACTTCTCTCCACCAGGGAGTTCACAGCCTGTACCAAAAACCTAAGCAAATAGAATTTCCTCTATCAGGTACTGTCATTAAGCATCCTCAATGAATCACCGCATGAATGAACATAATTCTCCCTATCTTTTATGGCTGCACTTCTTAATAGATAAGGACACCCGGAGATTCTGCTGAGTAAGTCCAAATGTCTCAAACTCCGCAAATCATATTGCAGCCTCACTAGCCACTATAGGAACAGTGCTGCCTATTTCAAGGCCAGAAAAAGATTAAACGTACAAGCTCTCATGTTAAATGAGCAAATTCTTGCCATATTCTTCTAGGAAGTTTACCAATATGTTTATGTTTGTGCTAAACTAATGACTGCGATATTTCATGCTCTGAATCAAATAATAATGGTTGAAAGTTTATTCCCAAATTGCCAGAGAGCATTCCCTAAGCAAAATGTCTTGTCAATGCTTATTGTAAGAGCAATTCCCAATTCTATGGTTTACAAGAAATTATTTATTTAGTAGCTGCAGCTGGCTTCAGAATTATAGACAATACAGGCTCCATTATGACTGAAATTGATGTCACGCTCCATTTCGTACCAATGTTGTTATTTGTGCCATACTGAGAATAGGCGTAGCCAGTTTTATCAAATTACAATGTCCATCAATATATCAGCAGACAAAATAAAAGCTTCGAGCAACAATAGACTCCAACAGAAGGCTAGCATTCAATAGATCACAAATGATTTTGAAGACTATAGAGAACATATTTTAATTCGACAGCTCACCTTCAAGATTACATAGGAGTCCCCTGTGAAAAACTTCCCATAAGAGGACTTCGGGATGGGAATAGGATTAAAATTCTCAATACGCCATATTTCCAGCCCACTATAGATGGTTAGGGAGAATGATGTACAAGGAAGATATTCAAGCACAGCATCAAATTAAACAAATAACAGAGGCAGCAATCTGGTATAAATCTTGGCATGACTCTCTCATTTATTCATTAAACTACCTCTGAAACGGAAGTTGAGTGATGGGGGGGGGGGGAAGGTTTCGGAATAAAAATCCATTAGGCAGTTAATTAGATGCAGGATACGCCTTTTGTCCAGCTCCCTGGAAAGCGGGATCCAAGTCCCTCATGGAAACAGCCATACTATTTTTCTACTTTCTTATCTTCAATGACCAAGCTCGAAACAAAGAATAACCTGTATGATGACCATATAGCAGATAATGAGTGTAGAAAGGTGAGGTCAAAGGGCTAAATTGCTCGAGTTTACAGAACATTTTGGTGAGTGAAAAGGAGTGCTTCCACCATTTCAATTAGATAATTGAGTCGGACATTTCTTGTCAGCTATATTTTGTCAGAAAGAAGACAAATTGATCACATGATAAAAATATACAAGGGCAACAACATCATTCCATCGGTGCTTTAGTAAAGTTGACAGAAAGTGGACATGTTTGGTTGCTCACTACGGTAAAAAATTTTCAAGATATATTACCAGACAATATAATAGTCTAAGAAGACAAGTAATGGTTGAACACGCTTTACAAAACACTCATCATTACCATTCATAAAATATTCACCTTCAGATATCTACTATCATCCAACATATCTAGAAAAAGATGGTGAAAATTGATGAATTATCAATGAAAACACATGGCCTTTTGCCATTGAACGTCCCAGTTAAAAGTTTTTGAAATATAAGAATGGTAAAATCAGAAAAATCTTTTACGTGCAGGCCAGCATAAAACAACCACATTACTGCTATCTAAGAATTATCAAATTGCATTAAGACGGAATCCCATAATACAAAATTAAGTATGGCAGTGAATATCATAATTCATCTCATGGCATCGATTATCAAATAAGAAAATTCAAAATTTGTTAGACGATACATAAACTCGTATTAAATGACACCCGGAGTCATTAATATCTCAGTCTCATAAAGCTGCTTCAGATTCAAAAATGTCTTCACAGTCCACACACATGAAGTGTCTCGCGTAGAAAAGTAAACCACAAAGATGACACAGGAAACACACCCATGAAGCATGGAAATTGCAATGCACAGTAATCCATTGGCGCATGCTACCAGAAATTTGAGTACACTATGAAAATGAATGAGCAGTTTTATGTATATACGGATCCATGTATTCCATTCAGTGACATGAATGCACATCCAAACATGCCACTGTGCACCTTATCTCGAAAACCCAACATGTTAAAATGGTCCAACATGTCAAAGATGTTACATTTTCCAATATTTCGAACTTCAATATTCTGTAGTTTTTAAAAGTACTAAAATTCACAGAAGTTCACAACTCCACATCAAAATCAAAGAAGCGCAGTTAGAAACATGTCACCATCAATCATCTCTCTTTCACAGTCAGGACAACAGAACACATTGGGTCAATCAAATTTAACACCAACAGGCGAAAAAGATCAAAATTCAAGAAATACCTCCAAAAAATTCATATTTATAATCAGTTGGGGAAAAAAATCGAAACATGTTCAATGTCCCATACCCGAAAAGAAGCAGAGCCAACTGATCGATTATGCCTTATCGGAATTAGCAAATTTAAGTAAAAGTTCAATAAACCAGTAAGCCAAGAACACCAACCCGACCCTGAACTCAGAAATCCGGAATCGAAGAAGCCAAATCCAAGGTCGGACGAATCTAACTGACAGCAGCAGATCCAATCTAAGAAGCAAAACTGGTGAAAATCATACAATTTTCTGGAAGTAGAGAATGGGAAAAGCTCGAGGAAGGAGGCAAAAGTCAGAAAAATAGTGGGAAGTGGGGCTAGGGAAGAAGAATAATAAGTATTTTAGAGAGGGAAAGAAGGAATATTACAGGAAAAAAGTGGGCGATTTAGAGAGAGAAACAAGAAAGAGAGTGATGGGAGTTGGAGGGAATGATGAATGCCAGGCGTGCTTATCACCAACGGCGACATTAGCATCCTCACAGCAACACAGACATGTACTGTAAAACTCCCAAAAAAATTCTTAAAAAAAGCGAAAGTAACAATTTTTTGGCTGCAATCAACAGTATTTGGACTTTGGAGGGACTTCAATTTAATTTCCTAGCGGAGTAATCTCATTTTCTTACCGTGTGGTCAGTAACGGTAAGATATTCTAAATCAGAAGTTAGACAATTGAGATGAGAGGAAAAAGAAAAAGAAGAGATTAGAGGAAGAGGAGCCCCAACGAAATCTCAGACTCTCATCAATCTCTTTCAGGTGACATAATATTGCATTTTTTAGTCTCTCATTAACTTTCAGTCTTCATGTGATCTTCTTTGCTAAATACAATGCTAAAGAACCGGTGAATATTAAACTAAATGCAGGCGGATTAATTAAGAGATTTAACTCAAATAATCATCATTTAAGAAAAATTAAAAGAAGAAAGGGCTTGGGAATGCATCCCATCTCATAAAGGGAAAAGGTGGAACCACCTAACGTTTTAAATTTTACCCATCAACCTCCTAAAGGCAGAAAGAAAATCCATTTCTCTTTCTTTGGTTTAAATTTAAAGTCAAAGTTTATATTTTTAGGAAAATTAATTTTTTGGTCCTATAATTTTTACTCATTTGTAACTCAATCCCTATACTTTAACTTGGTGCAACTCAATCCCTCTAATTTTGACTCGATTATAACTCAGTTCTTGAAATTTGACTCATTGCAACTTGATCTCTATAGTTTTAACTATTTTACAATTTAGTCCTTGTGTTTTTAAAAAATAAAATTATATATCTAATAAAAGGAGAGACTAAATTATAAATTGGTTAAAACTATAAGGACCGAGTTGCAGCAAATCAAACTTTAAGGACTGAGTTACAACTAAATCAAAATTAAAAGAACTAAGTTGCATCAAGTCAAAATATAGGGGCTGGATTACAAGTGAGTAAAAATTATAAAAACCAAAAAATTAATTTTTTCGTATTTTTAAAAATAACTGTGAGATATTCTTGAGGTTTGGAATCAAACTTTTTAAACAATCTTTACAAGACGATAATAGGTATTTTAAAACGTATCAAAAAATATCTAACATTTCAATTTTGCTCTGCTAAAATTAATGTCTATGTGTCCTGTGTTAGAATTAAAAGCACGCCAATTTCAATATAAAAAATAATGTTTTAGTGAAAAAATTATAAAAAATATGATTATTGTCAAATGTTAATTAAAATCATAATCAAACAAATCATTGAAGACAATTAGATTAAAGTTTCACATTTATTCGCTTATAAAAAGTGAGCACTCCTTTTGAACCCAATTATAAAGCAAAACAGCGTGGTTCAAAATATAAAATTGAAACATAAAGTTGTTTTTAAATTAAATTAGATGACACATATTAAATATAATAGACTTGGTTTTCTTTTTCATGCATGAATTTATATCTATTAACATTTAGAGGGTACTTGGTTACTTCAAAAGTACTTTTAAAAAGTGCTTTTATACAAATCAAAATAAAATTTTTCTCACATACTTAATTATTTTATATGTTATAAAATCTTTTAAAATTATAAATTGGTTTTCACTCAAACATCTCTTTAATCATATCTTGTTATTAACGGATTCAATTACCCGTAGTTATTTTGATGCAAGTTTTTAAAGTAAAATTTACAGTCTTGTTTAGCTTAAACATTAACTATCTAAAATTATGAACATTTTTGGACAAGTATATAAAATTTTAAAGGATTAATATAATTTTTTGTCTCTCAGGTTTGTACTTATTTTAATTTAGTCCTTCAAATTTTAAACTACAGGTTTTGATCACTCAAAGGTCAAAATAATATAAGTCTTTATTAGATTATAGGGACTAATATTTTAAATAAAAAGAAACTTGAATGACCAAAACCATGATTTAAATTTAAAAAATCAAAACCAAAATTATGGCAAAATTAAAGGATCAAAATTTATATTAACTCAATTTTAAATATTGGACCAGTGATTTTTCGCTTATAAAACAATCGTCCAAAGTGGATGATGAGAGAAGGAGAGAAAATGGGAAATGTCGGTCACCGGCTATTCGGCTGGCTAAGGCAAATTGTACATAAATTGGCCAAAAAGCCTAACATGGTGTGGGGCCCACTTACCTATGAACTTTAGTCGCAAAAGTTGCCAATCCTCATTTGCCTTTATCTATCTCTTGTTTCCCCAAAAAAGTAAGTTTACCAAAAGAAATTTAAATAAATATGCAAAGCACTAAAGTTTGCAATTTTACAAGTTAAAATATATAATTTTCTAATTTTGATTTTAACTAAAACTTATGTCCACAATAAAATGTCTTACTGTAATTAAAAGCATGCCAATTCTTATTTGAAAAAATAATGAGAAACTGTAAATAAAAAGCATACTTGAAAACAAAATATTTATTTTTCATCTTTGGCCGGTATTTTGGATCAAGTTACTTTATCCAATGAGTGGGGTTGGGGAGAACAATTTTTTATTGTTTATTCATCAGTCCTATTTAAAAGATAAAAAAAAATTATTCTTATTTACAAGTTATTTCATTAAATTTTTAGTATGAATATATTATTCTATCCTTTGTTTAAAATAGTAAAAATAGTTATTTTTTAAAAATGTATATATTAAATAGGGATAAAGTTTTTTTGAGTAAAAAGAGTCAATTTCATTAATATAAAAAAATTACAAATACCAATAGCCAATTAAATACAATAGTGATAAAGCTAAAAAGTTGAAATATTTTTATATTTTAATAAAGAGTTAAAGTGTTTTAAGATTTTTTTTAGTATGTATAAAATATAATAAAAGAATCATATAAATAGAACTAAAGGAGTAACTAATAAATACAAGATTTTGTTTATGTATATTATAAAAGATTTTGAATTCCATTCCAACTTTTTTGCTGTTACCTAGAGCAAACTAATCATGAGAACTTAAATATGCTCCTTCTAGTTTTTATCATGAGTTTTAAATAATTAATTCACTGATAATAAATAATTAGTTAAAATTAGTTGAAAACAATAAATAAGTTAGAATTAGACTTTTATTTTCAAACATGCCCTTTTAATAAAATAAAAAAAAAAAATGTGTGAAGAAATATAATAAGAGATAAATAATTAAGAGCAACATTAAAAAAATGCATTAAATGTTTAGATAGTATAAAACGGACTACACTTTTTTCCAAATTTGAAGCTTAGAGGAAGTAGAAGTATTTAATTGTATTCTAACTTTTTTCCCTTCATTGCTTGTCTTTTCAATTATAAGCATTTTTGCCTTTTATTTTAAAAAAAATGAGGCGAAAAAGATTGTCTTGCTTGAAATGGCATTTTGTTTACTGAACATGCATGTGTTGAATCCAGTTATGTCTCCTTTCTAATTCTAATACTCCTCCGGTCCTTAATATATGACCCAGTTGTTGAGTTGGTTTAGTTCCTAATATAAGACCCATTTCTCATATTTATCAATTTTCTCTAAATTACCCCTATGGATACTCCCTCAACCATAATCAAATAGAAGAGGGGAGATAGGGTATTAAAAAGATGATTATGGTATTTTAGGAAAAATATATCACTTTTCTTATGATTAACCAACTTACCTAACTTCTTTAATCTAATCAAATTAATTAAATGGGTCTTATATTAAGGACCGGAGGAGTATTTTTTTTTGTTTCCAAAAACATGAACACGCTCTTTATACGTTTATTGTCAAAATTTTAATTTTAATATCTTGATAACTACATGATGAATATTTTATTTTTGCATTTTAGAGCCAGCATACGTAATACTAGACGCCATAGGCATCAAGCGTTATATAAAAGTTCAAAAATAAATTATAATACTTATTTCTAATAAATAGTACTACTACCTATAGATTTATTGAAGCATTGATAACGATTCTCTTCCGACTTCCATGAAGACTTGACATATATTATATTTTTTAAAATTTAGAATAATTTTTCATTAATATTTTTGTCACAAACTTTATATTGATATATCCTATTGATTCCTTTTTGTGAATTTTTTTACATACATTTTATTTTTACAATCGATAATTATAATATTAACCAGACGTGAGGCCCCTCCATTAACATAAAACTAAATTTAAGAGATAAAAGTTGCACTTGTTTTAAAATTCGAAAATAATATTACTAGCATTAAATTTCATATTGATATATTAACGGTGATACTTTTTAACACATATATTATATTTTCAAGAAATATATTGATCAAAATATTTGTAAAAAATATTTTTAAATTTAGTTCGATTATATATTAGTCCTTTCCACGTATTAAAAGATAAAAACTGACTTTTCATCAAATTTTCCTTTGCTCATGTTACTTCAACATGATTTAATTTCCGAAAGTATTAAAAAGAAAAATGGAAAGTTGCTCTTATGATTAAAAAAATTAATGTTGATTATTATTATTTTTAACGATCAGAGATGATATTGTACCTTTTTAAAACCTTGAGGTAACACTGAATTATTGATCCAACAAAATTTTTTTGAATAATCCTAATTCCTGTATGAAAATTTTTGAAATAAAATTACACCTTAACCTAAACTTTTCCCCAAATTTTCCTATTTCAACATGATTTTTCCCCCCTAATGTACAGGTATTCTCTTATTAGAGATAATCTATTTAAGATACTGTCATACACTAAATGTGTAAGTACCTCTCCTAACAAAAATTCAAATCTTAGACTGTCACGTTGTGAGGGACTAATTAATTACTCTTTAGATCTTAAATATAAGATATTTATATAAAGATTTTATAAGGATCTTATATTTGGAATCGAAAGAGTAACATGTAAATGCATTACTCAAAATAAATGATTGTACGAAAAGGGTAAACTCGGACCATTGGATCCTTTTATGATCTGTAAAGTGGGAGGAAGGGCACCGTCCACCAAGCGCCGTCACGGCAGTCACTTGTTGGATTCTTCTATCTTCTTCTTCATTTTCAATAATCAATGACGTGTGACCAACTTTTTATTTTATTTTATTTTATTTCACATCCAATATAATTTTTTTATATTTTATTTTAATGTATTTTCAAAACAATGCTCATTGCTAATCGTTGAACCCTAAACATTGGACCATTCAACGTGCCGCTTCTGTGGATGCACGTATCGCGTCTGTCTTCTCCTGTTATAATATGAATTGAGTTATTTTATTTTATTTTATTGTTTGGCCAAAAAAAAAGTTATTTTTATTTTATTTTCTTATGAATATAGACATGTTATAAATAAAAACTAATGTTTACATCTTTTAATTAAAATACAATTTTATTTAAATTAAGTAAAAATATTATACATAAAAGGTCGGTCCATTACGCGTGATTAATTAAAGCGAAGTCCAAATAAATCGGAAAGAAAAGGCTGGCATACCATTAAAACAAGAAAACCCCTCTTCCGTGGGTTCAGCTGGCGAAGGGGTCGGACTCTCTCACCAAAGGGAGGGGGTTCGATCCTGGGGAATGCCACTTTGTTGTGGCTCCAGTCGCGGCGCTGGGGGAGGCATCTCCACAAGCGTAGTGAAGCTGGGTGATTCCTACCTTTGGGCCAGAAAAAAAGGGCTTGCTTGTCATGCTCCCGTGCCCATAGGGACAGGCCCCAGTGGATCAAGCGTTAGGAGCCCGACCCCTTTCCTAAAATTTTCTTACCAAAAAAAAAACAAGAAAATAACGTAATACGGAGAAAATAACAGAAAAAAAACAAACACAACAAATTAATGTTTACGTGAATATAATCTATATTTAATATTAATCCAAATATTCTTAAATATAAATTGCTTTTAACAAATCCATGCATACCAAAAATTCAATAAAATATTAATTAAAACACTAAAATTGCCATAGAATTGAATTAATTTCAAATAATATCACAAACTTACTCAAATTAGAACATGTTTTTGAGTTTAGAAAAAACACTACAGAATACCTTATAAGTCACTTATTAATAATATCTTTATATGGATATCAAGATTTGAACTAACAATGGTCTTGTTTGACTGAGAGTTGGAAATCAATTATACGAATGTTTCACATAAATCGAGATAAAACTCTTCTTAAAATTACGATTGAAACTTATAAGTTATTCCAAACAGATCCAATCCTGAGCCAGCTAAATTAAGGTTTGTTGGAAGAAATATATACTACTTAGCTATATTCACTACAATTATAACAGAATTACACGTGGTTAATATATTTGAATTAAATAAACATAAATAAAAAAAGTACTATCTTCAGTTCTTAATATAAGATCTTATTTTACTTTTATTTTGATTTTAAATATAAGACCTTAATTCATTTTGTTTCTCATATTTATCTTTTTTTTTAAATAATCTTTCTAATAATGATAATTCTAGCTAATTCATTTGATTAACAATAATATTTTAGTAAAAATAACATCTATTTATTATAAAATAACTAACTTAATTTATTTTTTTAATTTATTTATATTGACTAACTAACTCTTATATTTAAAACTAGAGGTAGAACTACTCTATGAAAATAAGTTGGACAATGCCTTGGATTGGAATGGAAGGCTAGTTGTAGTGCTTGGAGACTCGTCTTGGACACTAAGAAAGAATGACGTTGACTGGCTTCTTCTTCACTCTTTGGTCTCTTTTTCTTTTATCCCAATCAACTGGACCTTTTCCTTGTGCTGCGAAATGACAAATTTGACCTTTTCATGTGAATCGTATTAATAATAATAATTATTATTATTAGTATTAGTAGTAGTTTTTGGACACTTATATATTTGGTCGCATTATTAGACATTCATACATCTGACTTTTGGCCCGGCATGCATGCCGTGGCCTTGCCACCTCAAGCCCCACCGTTACCAACAGGCAACATAATTCACGCTCTTAGCAAAAAAAAGTATTTTATTATTGGTATTTTTGTTGCTGTGACATGAATCTCACACATGGTACTTCATTTTAAAAATTTATCATTTTATTTCAACATTTTCTATTTTTTTTAACAAACATTGGAATATTGTCTCAGGAAGTAATTTTAAATTATTTCGATCTGAAATATGATTATGTTTTTGGCAGAAATATATAAAAAAATTTTTAGAAAATTAAACTATTGTGGTTTTGGGCCAGGTTTAGTGGGCTGTTAACTGACACACAGGCGGGGAACAGAAATTGGGCTTCTTAAACAGAAACATTCTTATAACCCTCGGGGGGACGCTCCCTTTTAAAACAACACGAGATTATAAGTAAATACTATTTTGTAACTTTCCACTTGTCAAAAAATTTTGATGCCACTAGATTATAAAGTTATTGATGCTTGAAACCATTATAGATCCCCTTCAGAGGGCCCGCACCACTAATGATATGCTAAATAACGCACCCTCTAGCAAATCTATTTTTCACAAGTTTTTTTTTAATTCTATTATTAAATATGTGTATGCATAAACGTGTTATTGAGGAGTAATGAGTGATATGCTTTTAATCAATGTATTAATAATTAATTTTTTTGATTAAGTTTGATGAAATTTATATAAAATCAATTTAAGTTGAATTTATTGCACATATGCTAAATACTTATTTCGGGAAATCATATATTAAATAAATGAAATAAAATTTTAGGAAATCTTAGTCTTCTACAAATGGGCCTTGTTTGGTGACTCTCACACGAAAGATATTTGAGCCTGCTATGCAACAAGTATGAAGTAAACAAGACAGAGAATTTGGGCTTCTAAAGCCCATTGGACAAAGCACCAAGTGCCAACCTGTAGTTTACGGGGTATGATGAAATTCAACATAAAGCCCAAAGTAGCATTGGGAAGCCCAAATCCAAGAAGGGTCAAATGGGTATAGGCCCAACAAGTAACAATAGTCTCCAGAGCATTCTTTATCATATATTTTCTCATTTATTGTAACTTTTTGGTTTTGCAACCCACTCCTTAAACTTTGACTTACTGTAATTCTATTTCTATAATTTTAATCATTTTATAATAAATTAAATTATAAAATAATTAAAATTATAGGAATCAGGCTGGAGTGAGTTAAAATTGTTTTATAATCGAGTTAAAAATGTAAGAATTAAGTTATAAACTAGTTTATAGCCCCGCGCGATGCGCGATTTGTGTAAAGTGTATTGTAAACTAACAAAGTAATTTGATTCAATAGAGGATGAGAATATTTTAAATTGTAAAGAGTAAGTAATTGCGTTGAACACATTAGTAATTAAGGGAAGTAAGTATTTTTAAAACTGCGTTCTAGTAAAAACAAAGCAATTGTGATAGACTTTTTTCGGAAGAGAAATGTGTTAGCAATATCTATTTTATATTATTCCTTGTTGTGTATATGTTTTGTAAACAAATTTTTTAATAAAGATCACCTAGCCCATTCTCTCATTTTGCCATAATTCCAACGAAGTTGCCATTCTAACAAAAATATGAATTTATGTTTTGTAATATTGCGTACTTGGTGACAGAGTTATATTGTTTTTAATGCTAAAGAAGTAGTTTGACCAGGACTTCCTTCCCTATGCAATCGGACAGCTCTTCAGGAAATCCCATAGGCTTGCCCATCTGTTAGCATTACATAGTGTAATGTGTTAAAATGTGGTACTGATATTCAGCAGAACAAATTTATTTTGACAAAATTTCCCAAAAGAGATCACCTTAATCATTTGATCCTTGAGGTCGGCAGCAACACAGTTCAATAACTGAGAAGCTAAGCGATTGAAAAAAATGATTGAACATTTACCAATGGAATCCCTTGCTTTGTAATGAACTTTGAACCTATATGTATTAACCAAGTAAATATTACTTATGTAGTTAAAAAGGAATAAAGATAAGTCACTAATAGTAAAATAATATGGTATATTTATCTTGAAGAATATTTCATACTTGGGTTCAGTCATCTTGACTTCTGTGTTGCATGCGCTACACTTAAGTTTCCCATTGACATAGAATGGTTTTTTATCACATGGACATCCATCGTAATTCCAACCATATGCTGTTTCAAGCTTCTTAATGACCAACTTAGTGACAACCTCACATGGCTAAATACCAAACATATATAAGCACCTCAATTAAAAGCAAGTTGATAACAGAGTTGTTTTTCGATCAATGTAAATAAAATTATACCTCAGTGAAGTTCATTATCTGAGCTATATTAATCCTGCAAGGGAAACTTAAGAGTGACTCATTTGTAGCAGTTGCAATGACACAGCTTGATACCTGGGATAAACTTTGACTTGCAACTGGATTATCTTCAAGACTAAACATAAGTGTTGGAAAATTATTAATAATTGGTCACTTTCATGCTAACCTTAATCTTAATAAGTAATAACTTAATAATGGTTGATGAAATTAACCTATCAAGTAGTTTCTTGGTCTCAGGGAGGTCAGGATTGAAAACTACCTTGGTCCCCTCAAACTGATTAGTTAAATGTCCGAAACCTAGATTTTCAAGGTTAAAGCTTGATGATAGACATGAATAGCAATGAGGTAACACCTTTAATAACATGTGATGATACATATACGTACCTTTTCCCCTGTTGATTCTTGCAAAACGAAGGAGCACAACAATAGGTGGTTGTAAGTCTTCCCCTTTGGCTCTAAATATTTCATTGGCACACTGACCGAATACTACCACATTGACAGATCTCTTACTGTAAAAAAAGGAAAAAAATCCTGTTTCTAGGCACATATAACGAAAATATATATAAGAAAACTGGTTGAAATAATTGTGAAAATCCAATACATAGTAACAGGGACAATGTGACAACCGCTCTTTCAAAACCATTTTAAATTAAATCCAACAATTTATTTGAATGATTAACCATGATAGAAAAGAAGAAACCTTAAAATTTTAAAATCGCTATCATGGTTAAAAGAAATAAACTTATATTACGAGCCACATCAATCGTTCACTTGGACCTTGGACTTTCAAAGTTCAGAAATATCATTCAACCGTTAGCTCAAACCAAACTTACACTTTCAAACACACGAACTGATAAAACATTTTAATATAAGTCATAGAGCCCATTAGTGAAAAATCAACACTATCAAATCAGTGTAATACGCAAAGTCTAAAATGTTTCGGACCTCCTCACGGCCCTATCATACCAGATAGTAGTAATTAAAAGTATTATTTTACATCATGATAGTAGATGAGCCCTATGTGGCAATATATAACAAGTCAACACATAGAACAAAAGCAGGGAGGCTATACAAGCTATAACAGCACACTATGCCTCCGGAGCCTTCCCTGATGGGCCACCACCGGAACTATCGCCTGAAAATGTTAAACCACGGGGTGAGATAAATGCCTCAGTAACCAACTTTCCAACTCATCATACATACTAACACGTGCTCGTGAGGTGTCAAGTGGGACAGTTATAAATTCTCGAGAACTATAGATATATCCATAGAAATATAATTTCAATCATCCAAACCCTCACTATGGGGGCCAACACACAAGCCACATAAGTCTATCCCTCACTTTGGGAGATCAATCAAACATATGGGCCTATCCCTCACTTTGGGGGACGAATAAGAAGCCACAAAGGCCTATCCCTCACTATGGGGGACGAAAGAAGAAGCCAACCAATGTGCACCAATGGCGGCCTTACCACGTGGTAGGATAGGACTCAATCCCAAAATCCAAATAACAACCAATCATTCACAATATAATAAAAATGTCTCAATCTTTTCTCAGTATAATCCATAAGATATAAATCATATATCTTTTCCAAACTTCTCAATCACAATTCCAAAAATCCCACAAGACAATTTTCATAGCTCAAAAGATATAACATATCTACTCAAGTTCCAAATATCCAATATTATTCTAAAAACAGAAAAATACTCACAAACAACATATTAGCACATATAACAAGTGGAAAGTGGTTACCTCTCGCCAAAGCAATACTAAGGATTACCACAAGGTCAATCCTTTGCTCAACCAATAATTAATCTACACAATTAATATAACCACATATTAATATAAACTAATTAATTAATTAATTAAACTTCTCTATATTATTTAAATTCCTGATTTAATTAAATTTTACTTTAAAATCTCTCAACTCTCATAACTCAAAAATTATTAAGTATTTTAGAAACAACTTAAAATTTCTAACAACCCAAATTATTTATTTACCACCTCCAAATTATTTACCTTAATAAAAAGGATTTTCAACAATTTCCAAATATAAAATTATTATATTATAAACTCTAAAAATCCTCATTTAAGTTTAAACCTCAAAATCAAACTCTCAAAAATTTAATAATAATACTTCAAATATTTATAACTAAATAATATGATCAAAACTTTAATGGTATAACTACCATATATATATATATATATATTTCCATAAATAATAAAATTTTTAGCTACAATAATTATTTTAAAACCTCCAGTCACCCAATAAATAAAACAAACCCGATTAAAACCTCAATAATATATCAAACAACCCAAATAAATTATTTAACTTAAATTTAATCGGTAAAAATATGGTATATCTCATACATAATAGATTTTCCACTAAATAAATTAATTTTAAATACTAAAACTAGCAAATAGAAAAATCTAAACCGATTAAAATTAACAACTCATTTACTTCTAAATTTCTATAGTCATCTTTTGTCAAAAATCAATAGTTATATCATATATAAGTCTCAAAATTTTTTCTAATCACTATAGTAATAACATAAATAGGAAGCTTAAAATATACAGGAAATATTTATAAAGAAAGTTTGATAAAAAGAAGTAATTTTATGTACCTAAAATATCTTCAAAGCTTGTTTCCTCCTCTACCGGTATGCTCCTCCCACTCTATCTCTCTTTCTCTCGTTCCTCACCCACTCTATCTCTCTTTCCTCCTTGCGTCTGATGCGGAAAAGAATTTGGGGGAGGGGGGTATTTAACAACCTAACATTTATTGAGGGGGTTGAATTCTACCGCAACCCCCTCCAAAAATTCCACACGCAACGTCAACTTTCCACCGAATTCGGTGGAAAGTTGACTTATATATATATTATTTTTATTTTTTTTAAATATTATAATAAAATATTATTTTATTTTATTTTTCTTTTCTTTTTTTTTTTAGGATATTACAGACAACTAATAAAATAAAACACAAAACATCTTAAAATATAAACTATAAACTGGGCTAATCACTTCTCATCCGCAATTGTGAAACTGAGCTTCCTTGTACTACCCCCTTCTTTTTTATGATCCTTCAAATCTCCAAATGATTGTAAAAACCCAATAACATCTGGAAAACATTAAAAAAAAAAAAGACTTTAAATCCAACTTTTCTTAAAAGAATTAAACAATGACAAAATGCTAAGCAATATAAGTATGTGATCCAACCTATCAAGTCTTCATTGTTGGCATTAAACTCAGCAACATCCTTGATTGTAACGAAGTTGAATGCATCAAATGGAATTGAAAGATCACTTTCCTCGATCGATGTTGAACAATGAAAGCTTAACTTATATTTACAATCTGTAACCTTGTACTCATCTTTGTTAAGGAGCACTTCAAAGTTCTCAAAATGATACACTACCCCCTCCCGAAGTTCTTCAATGATACGTCTAATTAGTGATTTCTGAGTGGTAAATGCTTCAATCCTACTTTCCTACATATAGAAGAAGAAACTGTGATAGGGTATTTGTAAAAGTTAGATGGAACATGGTGAAAATGAAATAAACAAATACCTGTTCATCCACTAATAGCATGGATACCTTCCACACAGCATAAGGAGGGATCTTTCTGGGCACCGGCCATTTCCTGACAATCTTCGCATGCAAACTCCATGTGTCTTTGCTGGAGTTCAAGTCTTCGATAAAAATTTTTGCAGTAGGAGCCATTTTTTGTACAATACTGATGTGCCTTAAGACGCAATAATAGTAACTTGATATTCAGGGTGATAGGCAGTACAGATAATGATCAAACTAACGTGATATATATATATGTTCATCTATGCAGAATGACCCCACTGAAAATTTGGCAGGATGTATGATTTTTGAAATTCCCTCATAATCCTGAGAAAATTTTTCCCATGATCTGTGGCTCCTATCAAACAGCCAATTGTTGACAGCAAAAAAATCCAAGAGCCAATGGTTAAATTGTTAGGTCTAATAAAAACGCACCCAGGTATATGACTGATAAAATAATAAATGATAATGTGCTTGGAATAAAAGAAAATCAGCATGTGTAGTAGACCATATCATTTTTTTTCCTTGAAGGTAGTAAATGATATGACGGTATAATAATTACATGGATAGATGCGTCATCAATAATTAAAAACATCAGATATCTAATTGGCAGTACTGATACACCACAAAAACAAAAACTATGAAGTCACATGCGTGTGAACAGAGGCCAAAGCCATTAATTGTCCTTGCAAGTTCTACAAAGTTTCATTTTATTTTTTTGAAAAAAGAGAGAATCTATCCAATGCCAATTACATGAGAAGACATTATAAACATCGGGAATTGATAATGGCAATTGATGATTGACAACGCATAGCAAAGAGGAGTATTAGCATCGGGAATTGATAGCACCACAGAGGTAATAAATTACATGAGAATATTGTGAGCAAGAAATGTAGATGGACGATTAGGGTTCACGAGATGGAAATATTGATACATCGGGAATTGATAATGGCAATTGATTGACAACGCATAGCAAAGAGGAGTAGTAGCATCGGAAATTGATAGCACCACAAGCAAAACCCGCATATAAAAATATAATATTCATCCATAGAGGACCAATTGGAATAGAGCACATGGCAGGAAGGGAAAGACTGAGGTGGGCCAATGAGGGACTTCGTACGCGATTTAGAGATATGAGTTGATTGATTGATTGATTGATTGATAATTTAAAATTACGAAGACCGCAAAATTAATTTTTCCTTCGGCATCCGTCCATAGAGCATAGCTGGCCAAACCAGCATCGAGAAATCTACTCATTTTCTTAGCGTGTCATGTCAATAGTTACAAAGTAGGTATGTTACTCTAATTAATTATACATTATCTTTGATTTTTAATATAAGACTTCGTTTTATTTTTATTTTGATCTTAAATATAAGACCTTGATTTTCTTGATTTCTCATATTTATTCATTTTTTTAAAGATAGTCCTTGTAATAATAGTAGTTGTAACTAATACATTTGATTAATAAGGATATTTTAGAAAAGACAGTACCTATTTATCACAAATAACTAACTTAGCGAGTTTTCTTAATCTACTCAAATTAGTTAACTAGTTCTTATATTAAGGACCGGGGATAGTACTATAATAAGATTATTTGGGAAAAAATACCAACGAAAAAAATAGTTACAAAATGGTTATAAAATTTAAGGGGTTTAAATATATAAAAAAAGGAAAAAAATGAAAAAGGATTATATATTAACAAAAAAAATTATAATTTAAAGAGTAATAACCGATATTAAATTAAAAATGCACGTAAAATATATAACTCAAATTAGAACGTGTTTATGTGTGTGAGCGTGGGGGCAAGCGCAAGATGATTCTGCCATGGATCAGTCCATGAGTAAACGGAAGGAGATGGATTAGTCGAAGGCACAAAGCATCTCGTCTTCTTCCGTTTCTCTATGCAGATTCAATATTGTTTTATCCAGCCCATCTTCATCTTCTTCTGGTACTTTACCGAATCAAAGACAGAATTCTCAATTCCGGGAAGCTTCACGAGCACAGAGCATGAATGTGTTTCCACTGGAATACCAGCAAAGGAAGCGATACAGAGATTTTGGCTAGTCCTGCAGGGAAATTGAAGGAGAGTAACAGGAGCGAATTAAATCAAGGGAAGATTGTTGTTGATCGCTGATATATTGAGTAGTGAAGATGATGAAGGTGAAGATGAAAAGTCTCAGATTGGATCGTTTGGGGGGGGGGGGGGGACTAATGGTGATTTAACGATGGATTTGGGGTTGAATGAAAACTAGTACTCGTGGCTGAAGCTGATTGGATACTAAAAATACAAAGTTTGGTCCTTTAAACACATCTAACACCTAAAAATATTTTCTCATATGCATCCAGCATCCCAAAATAATTTAAAGTGTATTTAATATTTTAAAGTACTTTCTAAGTGCGTCCAGCACTCTAAAGTTTTTTCTTTTTGCTTATAGTGCTGGATGTATCAAAAAATATTTTTAGGTGTTGGATGCAGATAAAAAAAATACTTTGAAGTGTTCAACGCATTTAAAAAATATTTTAAGGTATTGGATATATCATTAAATATTTTAAAGTGTTAGATATAACTGAGAAAATATTTTGAAATACTGGATACACCTTAACTCTAAAATATTATAGATTTGTTAGCTTACTCACACAAGCAAAACCCAAAACTGGTTCAGACCGACATAGAATAAGAATTTTTCCCTTCAATTTTAGTATTTATGCATAATTGAAATAGAAAACCATGATGACGAAATGTTAAAAAAAAAAAATGCGTACATATATTATAAATATCCGTTTATATGGCCCACCCAAATCCTTAGATAAGCTCAATCAACCAGCTAGCCAAAGACAGCAGTGCTCGCTCTTGAAATTTGAAGCTGGCTAAGAGTGGATGAAGAGGGATTACGCAAACTATCCGTTTTTGTTTTCTTTTACCGATCCATTTTTTTAATTTTAACATTTCATGTCTTTTTTAATAATTGAAAACTTTCAAATTTCAATTCAAAACATGTAAAATAATTTCCTTAAAGTTAAAAGGTAATAAAATTGTAAAAAAAAAATCATTTGTAAATTGAATATAGGTCTTGACTTGAAAAAAGGAAAATTGCGGAGAAATCCCCGTTGAAATATTCATTACCAAGAGGTACATGGAATTTGCAAGTTCTTGAGTAACTGCAACTTATATTTAGTGGCCATGATTTGTTTTGTTGTTGTTGGGTAATATCTTTTGTTTTACATAGGAAATAGGACATATAAAACTTATTTTCAGCAAGTACAACTCTTTATCATTTATGTGCAATTTTATCTTTAACTATATACAAAACTTTTCAAAATGGAGGATATTTTTGCACATAGCTAAAAAATAATGTCACATACCTCTAAAGAAGAAGAGTTATATCCACCTAAAAACTTTGATTCTTAAATGAATTCAAGTACTGTTGGACAAATGAAATGTACAGTGAGGGCAATTTTTTATTAAAAGAATTTCAATATAGCTCCGTGGAAGCTAAGCCGCATAATTTCCGACAGAGGTGAATGAGATAGAAAGGGACAGCAGAGGCGATCCTGTTGGGAATTAAATAATTGGAATTTGGAAATGATGCTCTGATGGATTTGAAAGCACATGAGCCGCTCATCACAGCAACAGATATAGACCAAGTAAATAGTCAATTGACTAAATATATATGCCGCATTCAGTAGTTGAATTATTTCTCTGGCAAAAAAGCAAATTAGGACCACATGTAGTAGTGAATCTAGGTTGAATGGCTAAAAAATTTAATACTTTTATTTCAAGACACATGCGCACCAACGCAGCTTGTAGTTACAACTTACAAGATCCACCACTTTGTTTGGCTTTTCGTCATAAATTTAGGAGCGGTAACACATGCTATTACTCACATATTTATGAGCAGCTGTGACGGGTTAGGATTAAACGATGTGAGTTAAAAAAACCCGTGTGATGGCATGCTGGCTTTTAAACAATCCGTCAAACCACAAACTATTATTTTTTACAAAAATTTCTTATACAATATAAACAAAATATAATAAGATTTTTATTTTTTTCTTTAAATACTTGATTAAAAACACAAAATAAACGATATAGATATATCTTTAATTTTTAGATAGAATATAAAATATAATAATATAATTATAATGATTAATAAAATTAAAAAATAAAAAATAAAATGCGAGTTAGTTTACGGGTGTAAGCTTAGCAGTATGGGATAAAAAGTTTATTTGCTGACGGAACCAATTCTAACTCATCACCCCAGCAAGAAGAACCACCATTCTCTTTCTTCATTGGGGGGCGAAAGCAAGTTGGAGAAGAGTTGGGGGTGAACCGGCCATTCCAACACAGAGACGTCCAGCATGGCAACCGGACCCTCATAAATCTCTAAGGGTTTGTTTGGTTGGAGGGGAGGGGAGCTAAAATGTCCCCTCCCTCCCCCCATTTTAGCTCCCCTCTAAATTGGGGGTTTTTGGAGGGGAGCTAAATTTTTGGACTATTATGTCTTTATAGTTTTTTTAATATTTCATTTGTATCCATAAAATATATTATTATAATATTTATTTCAAATAAAAAATATATTATCCTAAGTAAAAAAATAAAAAATATATACATTATTATAATTAAAAATGTATTATAAAAAATTATTTAAATAAAAAATTATAATATTATAAAATTAATTTTTTTATAAATATATTATTTATTAAATATATTTTAAAGCTAGAAAAAAAGATAGCCTAAAGAGAATAAAATTTCATTTTTCTTAGAGCATATAAAATTTTTTAATTTGATTATTTTAAATATATTATTATATTAATTAGAATAAAAAATTACTGTACTAATTTTTTAATACACATATTAATATGATAAGACTGAATTTTTATTAAATTATATGATTTAAATTAAGATGTAAATTAATTTATATAATATATCAATAAAAAACATAAACTAATATGTAAGGGTAAAATGGTGAATTGATTATTACTATCCTTCCCCTCCCCTCCTTGAACCAAACAAGGGATTATTAAATATCCTCCCCTTCCCTCTTTTTTAATCAAACCAAACAAGGTGAGGATGAAACCTCCCATCCCCTCCCCTCCCCTCCCCCCCCTCACCTCAAACCAAACAGGCCTAAGGAGTAAGGACCACTCCATCCATT